GTATTTCATTTTTTTGCCTTTATTACTTTACCTTCATTTTTTCTCTTCTATTATTTATTGTGTCTTCCGGCTCGTAAGCTTATCCGAAGTCATTTTAATAATTGAGATGATATCGTATCTGGAGTAATAAAAAACATTTGGTTCTATATTTATGTATTCCGTTCTCTAAGTATGTACGGTATATATATATATATAGTATATCACAGAAAGATAAGTAGATATACGTACATATACATACGGTGTTCAGGTAAATCCCTACGATGTAAACGTGTCGTGGCTATTAGGGCAATTTCCGTGCCAGTTTCAATTTCAGGCGAATAACAGCAATGACAAGTAATTTCTTAATGCCCCTGGAAATTCACGAAAACGAGCAGAGCAATCAGTTCGCGCCTGTTTTCCTTGTAAAGCGAAACTCGTCTGATCGTCATTCCGTCATGAAACGAGAAGAGGGACATTCGATGATAAAAAAGAAAATTTAAGGAACGAGAATACTATAGAATGAATGAGGAAATGAGAAAGAGATTACACCTTGAAAATGGCAAATGGCTAATTATGAGAATGCCTGGCACCGTCAGGAGTAAAGGATTCCTCGAAATGCTAATTACTTACTCGTTATTAGTTAACGCGAGCGGCAGCTGCGAGCCAAGCAAAAATATTCCATTAAATTGATGCCACTCCGACGAAACTAAAGCCCCGCGCACACGCAACGACGGCTCGCAGAAGGTTTAATGTGTTCTTCCTCCTCTTCGCTCTCTCCGCGAAGGTCCTTCTCTTAATATACAATCGGCCAAGGTGAATCAAATCGAATCGAGAGTGGCAATCTTCCTGCAATGTTTATTTATTCACATCCGTCAAAGAATTTATATCATTCGCCAAATGATTTAAGGCTGTTTCACATATAGCGTCTCCAATTTGAGTGAGGTACCCCCGTAGACCGATTTATTAAACTTACTTATGGACATGAGAGTTTGCCGTAGACAGGACGGAGCAATTTGGACTGTTAATGGGATCTTGGGATAGACGAGAATAAATTTTCTTGATTTTAGGTAAAACCTGAATTTTTACAAATTATTGGAGTTACTCCATCTATTAATTGACAGGGTCCATCGTACTGGTGATAAAGTTGATTGTGCAAGAAAAATTTAATTATCTTACTCGATACCCCTTTCAAGAATTTTGTTTCCTGTCTTGCACAGATTGGTCGATACCCGTGAATAGGTGATTCACCTGTATAGAGAGTCGTCTCTCTGATGAGTCAGAGAGTAGATAGGACGTAGCAAGGGCAGCGTGACGAAAGGTGAGGGGGGAATGGAAAAACGAGCTAACAACCCGAGGGACAGATACCTCTATTATCGTGTCTACGACACTTCGCATGGTCACGGGCAGAATATTCGGATTGAATAGAAGTTTAGGGGTGGATCTACTTTCTCGCTCGCTCGTAGGTCTACGCTGGATTTTGAAGATGCGCCCTGGGAACTTTTCCGATTGAATACGAGCTTCGCTTTTGGGAAACCAGGGGATATTGGGATTCGAGAGAAATCTTATCCCTGCTACCCTATCATCCTCTTACCCATCTTATAGTTATATATTTTCTTCCTCCCGTCCGACCTTCAACTTGCATCTGCAATAACTGTCCCGAAAACTCGATATCATTCGCTGATTGCGATACGGCCTTTATTTCCGTCTCTCTCGTTGTTTACAAGGCTGATACGTATCAGCGGGTCTAAGGGATGATCCTGCGTTTTGCGACATGAAGTAGAAGCGTCTCCGTCCGAGCAAGTTTTTGCTTCGATCGTACGACTCGGAATTGCAAATACCTTTGGTCAAAGTCGAAAGTTTAACTGAGACATCCCTTGCGGCAGCTCACGACACCCCTTCGACACCCCTTCGACATCCCCCAGACAGGCGCGCGAGGCTCGAGGAGTTTAAGGTGACCTTGCGCGTTCTCAAATCCTACCCTCCCTTCTCCCTCGCATAAGGTTACCCTCTGGCAACCCTTCCCCCTCGTCGCCGAACCTGCACTACTTCTTTTCTTTTTATCCCCTCCGACATCCTTCATCTCGCGTAAAATCCAGGCGACGAGAGTGAAGCATACGGGCGAAGAGTCGCGCCTTTCAACCCTCTACGCACAATTAACGACCATTCCCCGTCTGCTTCCGGTACGCGTCTCCTTTTATCCCTCTTTATCCCTCCTCGCTTGTTCTTCATATCCACCTGCCATTTTTCCTGTAGTACCACCTCTCTACTTGTACCCCCTCGTACTCGGTCGTGTTCAAAAACTCTGCATCGCGTAAAGCCATGGAAAAGAACTTCCTTGTCGCGTCAAGAAGCTTATAAACAAAGTCGACGAATCGAACGGGCAATTACGATTAATTAGAATCGCAGGATTCAATCTCCTCGTCGGGAGCAGCGAAATCCTTTCGCAATCGTTTAATCTTTTTCCTTTTGTTCCTTCTGATCCTTCTCGTGAGGGAACACGGTTTCCTCGAAAACAATCTCGGTGTCGTGTCCAGGAGCTTAGCGAGGCCGCCCGAGAAATTTCTATTAATGTGGCGAATAGCGTGAGTCGGCAAAGTCCTTAATCCGAAGTTGTCTCAAGGAAGAGTCGAGCGTATCCTGCGCGATGCGACGGGATGGGATGGTGGATGTCTCAGCCTGGACCACCGTCTCTCATCCCTTTCACCTTCCCTAATTCACCCTCGTGCTTTCTCGACTCCCACAAGGGGAGCACTAGGACGTCCGAGACGCGCCCAAGAGACGTCCTGTGAGAGACTTGACCTCTCCTTCGAACTCTGTCATCCTGGCATTCTCTCCCACCTCCATCCCCCCTTCTTTCTCTCTCTCTCTCTCTCATCCTTCTGATCTCCTCTCATGGAACAAGAACCTTTACAAAGTTTCCGCCGCACTCGTTCGCCGAGTTTAACCGACATTTTTCTCGTGATAAATGAAATTGTTCCGCGGTTCGCGCCCGCTCAGCGCTTGTCCCGCGACTCGAACTTTTCAAGAACTTATAATCTGCCTGTAGACGCTTGGGCGCGTGCGCGTTATAAATTGCCAGCGACAAAAGCGATATGGAGCATGTGCGAGCACAAAAAAGGTCCCGATTCGTCCTCCGTAGACTGGCATTTCTTCGCGCCGAGACAAAACTTCACGCAAGTTCTACATATGACAACCATATATGTATATAACAAGTGCATTGTACGTAGCGTAGACGGATAACTATGAAGAAGTTTCAAACCTACAGGCTTCCATTAATTTCTCTTGAATCCGCAAAAATTTTCCTTCCTTTCACTAATTATTTATTCCATTTCATTTCGCACTCAAGCGCCGCGACGTCTAATCAATCTTTGCAAGTGTATCAACGCGATTGGCCGATTCTCTTGGGAAGCTGGGAAACACGTTGACGTACACGAGGATAAGAGCGTCACCCTCGCGTCTAAACGCCTGCCTCGGCTTACGAGCTCGTTAAATCGTGATAACTCCATCTACATGTAAATCTAATCGGGGAGACAAGGCATGCTGACATAAAGCTTCCATTATCACCGACGTAACCCATCGTCTCCCGCAGCCTATTCCCACCTGCGTTACTGACTGGCTGATACTGGCTCCTAGACACGACTCTCTACGTCTGCTTCAGCAAAAATCTGACTATGGAAATCAGGAAATAATCGAGGTAGTCGTGGTCGATTAGCTTCGGGGAATATGTTACGATATATGCATAGTAACGTATTTCCGGGTACGAAAATCCGAGAACCGACCAACCTCACCTTCGGCCGTTCACTCCTCGTCGATGCATCCGCATGCCAGGCGGACGCCGGCCAATTCGTTTTTCACCGTGAACTGACGAGCCGGTGTGACCTGAGAGTTTAGGTGGAAAAGACTCGACTCCGTCAAAACGAGAGAGCTCTGACAATACCTATCGTTCAAAATCGAAATCCCTCCACCGATTAGTAAATTGGGAGGACTCACCAGAACTGGTTCAGCTAATTCGCAAAGTCCGAGAATTGGATCCAAGGGACACTCCTGTAGACACTATAGCACAACACTGCACCTCCGAACACACGCAGTAAAATCTGTAGAATTTTCTGAATATTGCCAGAGCAATGCGAGAACCACACAAGCTAGAGCTTCCTATACCGTATAGGAAACACAGCTAGAAAAACTATGAACAGATAGCACGGGAGCGCGAGGTAGCTCGAGGCACCTCGATCGGTGTCCCAAGACAGACTGCCTTTGACAACAGTCAAATTCGAGAGCTAATCATTCTGATTGGTCGAGATCCTTATAGCCGATAATCCTTTCTCTCGAGCCGTCCCTATAAACTAAATCAACAGTGTTTCTTGACGAGTCGGTACGTAACAAGTGGAGATCCTCCACGGCTGCTTCCCCAGGTCATCGGGCGACAGCGGGACACCACACCCTTAACCCGGGTCAGGGGGTCCTCCTCTGGCCTTGACTGTATCAAAACTCTATTTCCACCCACTCTACGGCCCTTTGCCAATTTCCAGCGGGGCGCCGGACATCAGCCAGTCCGTGCAGACGTCTCCGTCGGGTCCTCTGCCGGGCAACTCGGTACCTTGAGACTATCTCTCTCCATGGCAGATTCGAGCACCTCGACTTCAACTCAGCAATAAAAAATCTTTCCGAGAACATTTGACGTAACTGTACGAATCAATGCGAGAGCGCAGCTTCTGATCAGGGTGGCGACTCGAGGGGACCCAGAAAGCGGGAACGTTGTCTGAATCGGTAGCTGGAGTTGTCTTGTGACCGTTAATCGAAAAATGACGTCACAACGTATATACATGTAGGTCGACATACGATACGTCCTGGTTATGGCATTGCTCATTTGTAAGGTGTCCATTAAAGGAAGAGGATCCTGTATATAGTCTTATTTCAATTTACATATATCTCTGGTACACGTATTTACGTAACAAAACTAATCATTCTCAACGACGTCCCGTATACGATCTGGTGTTAATTAAAATGTTATCTCGTTACAGTTCCGGTAATCGAAGTCATCGGTGTCGCTGGGTCAAAGGTTCAACTACCTTGTGACATCCATTCGACAAAGAAGGATAAGGTCAATATGGTATTCTGGTTCAAGGGAGATGGGAGCGAACCAATCTATAGGTAAGTTTAATAATTAAAGTAGATTTTCTTCATTAAGGAATTAAGATAAAGGTATAAACATAAATTGGGAATATTATGGAAGGACGGATCTTTTAAGAGCCATTTACCATATTCGCATGCATACAGATCCGATATCCAAGTATGCATTGCTGTGTAGGCGAATTCTTATCAGTCCCTACAATTTTGCTGGATCGTGTTTTCTGCTCGACTTTTACTTTTCGTGTACGTTTAAAACCATATTTTTAAGATATGGGATCTGGCTGGGTACGCGTGTTGATGAGGAGCATGAATTGCGGCGATTCAGGAATTGTAGCTTGAATTAGGACAAATTGTATCGGATTGCTGAATAATTATGGAGCAACGATATTGTTCAGGATCTAAAGGATTTTTTCTCTCAATCCTCTTGCGTCGCGACGCTTAGCGTCGAGCTCGTTTACGTAGTAACGTTGTTCCGCGTGGCTGCTTCGTTCGCAAAGGCGCAGGACGAGAAATCTCAATAAATATTTGTGTACGGTTTTTATTAGCGAGAGCAGTCGCTAGCGGCAACGTTGTGAGAAACGTGGAGATTTTGAGAATAGAAACAAGAAAAACGGGAAACATATGGGGAAATCGCACGAGCAAAGTACTTGCCTCCGGGACGAATCACGAGTCGATAGGATGAACGTAAGGAAGGGTCACGTCGAATAAAAGGAAAAGGTTCATACGTATGAAATATCGTTGAAACTCTTACAGCTGGGAGTAAACTATATCTTTTTCTTTTTACGTAATAACGGATCACGATATTCGATTTTACTTTGGATATTGTTTTTTCTTTTTTTTTTTTTTTTTATAAGATTCTACAAAAATTCCATTAGCACCATTGAAAAGTTCATTCAGTTAACATGCAGCTTTCCGCTTCTCTGGACTGCGAAATTTTCATATAGAATGGCTTGACGTTATGGAAGCTGAGGGCCGGTGGCGCAGGGCGTCGCAGGGCGTCGCGAGACTACAAAGACGCCAACCGAGGCGGATTCACGGCAGGGTCATATTTAACAATAAGAAATGTAATAAGGTGTGGAATATATGCCAGCTAGAAAACGACTCCGGTTAAATAAATGGATAAGATGGATAATACGGTAATATCCGAGTATCGTGTTTAATACAGGCAACTACATAAAACTGAAATTTTTTTAATCAATACCCATAATCCACAGCGTTATCATTATGTAAAGATCTTCCAAAAAATTCGTCAATCAAATCAATCCGCGTCACATCCACGAAATCATGTATGCCGATAAAGAAATTTTTCTGTAGTTCAATTCCCATTGACTATCCTTCCAAGGAATAGAATTTCCAAAAGTTGTATCGAGGGACGATAACGAGATGCTGGATCTGAGAGACGTTATCAGGGACTTAGAAGAAAAATATAGTATCTGAAATTCTTCGAATCGTCACTGTCTATAAGTGAGAATAGGAGCGCGGCAGTAGCGAAACGCTAGATGGAAGAATTAAATCGTATTTCAACGTCAATGCCGCGTAAGAAGAGAAAGAAGAAAGAATAAGAATAAAAAGAGAGCAGAAGAAGAAGAAGAAGGGGGCTTTGGGAGTACTCAGTCACGAGCAGAAATCCGAACTCTCATGCAGTTGTGGAACGCAATTTAACTTTTAGTCGCCCGCTCGAGAACCTGGGGCTTCGCTCCAGATGCTTAATATGCAATCACGCACGGGGATGGCTCCCCAGGTGACTAGGCACATCCGTACTCCACTCCCGATGTAATTCAGCTCCTCCTCCACGACTATTATCCGTTACGTTTAGAGTATGACTTCCCACTTGAGATGCTAGAACTCTCGTAACTCCCCTTTAGAGTTTCGATTTTGATATCTACACTGAGAATTTCAAAACTTCATATTCACTCCCTTGTGCGACACCCTCTCGTAACTTTAACCTTGAATTTCAATTCTGTTCGACAGCGTCGACGTGCGCGGTGGTCGGGACTACAGCCAAGCTGTCCTTTGGTCGTCTACGACGGCACTTGGACCAAGAGCATTTTTTGTCACCGCTACAAGACCGGCTCATCTCAGTATTGATAAGCTAGATGTCAAGGACGAGGGTATCTATAGATGTAGAGTCGATTTTGATAATACGCCAACTAGAAATCAAATGATAAATCTCATCATCATAGGCAAGTATCCATTGAGTATGGATTTGGAAAAAAATAATATGTACAAAACTTTTGTGAAAAAAAAATAGAACTGATAAAAAATTAAAAATCAGTTTCCAATAATCTTGAATATTATTTATTTTCAGTTCCACCGGAAAGACCAATAATCCTAGATGGCGCCAGTCACGATATATCTCGTATCGAGGAACCCTACAACGAGGGTAGCGACGTGCACCTCATCTGCGAAGTCAGGGGTGGTAAACCACCACCCCGAGTTACTTGGTTCCTAGAGAACACGGTGATAGACGAGTCGTATCTGTATAGCGAAATCTCTGGGGTGACAGTCAACCACCTGTCCTACCCAAAAGTTGGTCGGCAGCACCTTAAATCACGGCTGATCTGTCAAGCAAGTAATACAAACTTGACAGAGCCAAAATCCAACCTTCTGATACTCGACGTCAATTGTAAGTTATACAGCAACAGGAAAATTTTATCTTTTGACAAAACCTTCGATCTCGTCATACTTATCGGTATCCGTTTCACTTTTTTCCTCTATCTATTATCGATATCGATAACATGCTAAACCAGTATGTTTTACTCCATAAGAATTATATGGCGAATCGATCGTGCCATAAGGTATATGGCTATTAGGTAGCACTGTCAAGGTAAAACTATGATAGATTGACAAAAAAAATTATTGTTAGTATCAACACGCGATTAATGTAATGGGATGACTGCTAGCTTTTTTTTACCTTGAAGCTCTTTTTATTTCCTTCGAATGTCACTACCTTTCTTGAGTAAGCAGTAACAGTTGGCGTAAATACGAACGACGATCGCACTAAACTACCTGGTCAAACAAGAGCTGAACATTTGTTGTCTGTGTGTTAAGTATATTATACATTTCCTTACCACATTAATGCATATCAGATAAATACACATTTGTTTCACTCAAAAGGTATGAACGTATTGTCAATAGAGAACCTGACGTTTCTCTAATAGACGAAAGACATGACGACAATAGGCGTATTCAAGTTTCTTTTCCTTTGACACCGCAGGTAGTCATTTGTTATTAAAGGTTAGCATCATGTATTTCAAAGATAATAAGAGAATGAGTATGTCGTATAATTTGTGCCAATTAATTGGCCTTTGAGCCATGCATTTTTCCTTACCTACGCTTTTCTTGAAATTTGGTACTCGGGGGGCGGGGGGTGGGAGGATCGTTGAGGTCACTGACTACGAATCCGAATACAAAATCAAAAAATTCAAAATGGCAAATCCAATATGGCTGTTCAAAATGAAAATAGTTACTTGATTCGAATGAAAAATAATTTATAATAAAAAAAAACAACCTACAAAAAATTTTAAAAAAATTCTGAAATATACTTTAGAGTGTCCTTTATAAGTTTTTAAATCGGCATTTTGATTTGAAATGATTTTTTCTTCCAATGGAAAGCACCTATTTTGAGGATTTGTTTGTTTATAATACTGTTGCAAATAAATAATATTAACTGCACACATTTATTTTCACTTGCCCATGTTTTAGAGACACTACAGAAATAAAAAAAGGGATTTTTTATTATCAGAAATTAGTTTAAAACATTTAAATTTTAGCGAAAAAAGGTGGGTCTCTCAGTGACCCGCTATGACGCAAAGGGTTAAGTAAAGAGTGTCCGGTTTCTGTCTATCAAAGGAACGACACGTAGGGACTAATTGTAAGCTCGTGGGATGGATTTTCTACGCAAGTACTGGCAGCCCACTCTGGATAAGAGGTTCACGTGCACTTCACTTCTCAGTCCCAACGTCCCAAGCCATTAGATTCCTCGTGATAGATAACGGTAACGCCTCTCGCAAGACGGATCAGTGGATTGCGTGCTGCGTGCAACGTGCTCACTTCGATTCTCATTCCGGAATACCTTTTGCGCAGGGAATGCGAATTTAGCATTGTAGCAATGTAAGTGTCGCGGGGACCTGGGGTTGGGAATGACTGCACTAAAATATAATAGTTATTACCATGGGATAAGGATAGTGGGGCAAGATTGAGTGCGTCAATACAATCCAGGTGAAGCCATTAGGACTGATTGTGGCAAACGTGAAAATTCCCTAGAGCTTTCGGAACTCTGTGGTAAGAATTTCAATGGAGACTAGTGACTTAATGAGAATGACGATACCATTGGTAAACGTGTCAAGAGGTAAAAATTATTTTTAATATATGATAAAAGACAGGATCAATTAATGAAGCTACGTACACTGCAAGTCCAAGTATGTAGCGAAGTGCTTTATTCCCTATACTTTTATAACAGTCACTTTTTACACTCTTATAAGAGTCGCTAAATGTCTAAAAATGAGGAATCATTTTTAGACATTTAGACTTTCATTATTTTGGACCTTTAACATTTTACCAGTTTCGTTCTATATGATTTTTCTTGTATATTTTCTGTTCCATTTTCAATATCTCAATTTTCTCTCTAATTAAAAAAAAAAATTTATTTCTACTATCCGGTACTTCGCTTTTATTTCACTGAATCAAAACTCCCTTTCACGTTTCTCTCGTTAATACAACATTTTTTCTCGTTATCCAAAAACTCTTGTATACCTAATGAGTTGTGGAGGGCGATTTGATCCTGGTTCTCAATCAATTTTTAGAATTAGTTCAATATCAGTTCAATCGGTCACGAAATAAGCGATCCTATCGTATCATTCGCGTGCAATTATCAGAGCGTGCGTGCATTTATAACGTGATTGTATGGGAGATGACCGCGAGCGGGTACTTGCCAGGTCATTGCTATTCTCCAGGAATGTTTGAACGATGGCGACCAATCAAGTTTCCATCGAGGCAATATTGTTGAGGAATGGCTGTAGGGGCAATGCTAATTAATGAACGTTAATTGGCGAATAGAGAGCAGATAGACTGATACGCGTGCGTCGAGGCGTAAATATATGGCCAACCGAAGGATTTGTTGATACCGGAACTGGAAAAGGAACATATCCATAAATGAGACTTGGTTGCTATATTGGCCACGTTGATCAGATCTGTCAAGTTGGTCAGGTTTATTTCTCTATGGAGTGCCTAAAAATCAGGATTATTTTAAAATTCGTATTTTTACATGTTTGCCAACTATAATTTCTTTACTAACTACTGACTGTAGTACTTGGAGATTATCTTTTCCTTTTCTTCTTCCATTTCTTTTGTCTCCTTCAAGTTCCTCGAGCCGTCCTAGAAATTAAATAATAAAGATTTATTGCTGTGTCGTGTCGGCATGATTTTAAAAGGTGCTTCCGCAACATCGAAGCACCCTCCGTGTACTACATCGCTGGTACGTGACTCGGTGACTGCTTCACTGATAAGCAGCACGGTTTTAGTTAAAATTTCAAGGCGAAGAAATTTTCCTCTGCTTACTTGAATTTGAAGATATCATATCGCGTGCCCATATTTACCACTCGGTCAACTCCTCGTATCATTCCGTCCTTTGTGATTAGATTTTAAAAAATTCTAAATTTTCATTACATGAATAAGAGAAATCTTATTAGCTATACCCTGTAGCATATCGCACATTGATCTCGGTATCAGATTACAATTGGTATACATTTATAACAATATATTAATATAAACTTTTGAATTTTATTCTGCTTCCAGTGAAACCTCTGGTCGTACAAATATTAACTAAGGAACCAAAAGTCTCTGCTGATAAGAAGTATACGGTGGAGTGTAGGACGGCAGGATCGAGACCAGAGGCAGTGATAACCTGGTGGAAGGGTAACAAGCAGCTAAAAAAAATGGTCCAGAATGTAAGTCAATGCTATAGGTATACGCTTTTAATCGAAATAAATTATTTGTCAAGGTCTTACCGGAAATCTATATTTCCTTGATCCTCAGTATCAAGGCCGATACTGCGAAAAGGGATGGTGATTTTTTGTTGATACAGAGGATCAATTTACTTCCCGTTAACGTGGGGTTAGTTGGTTTAGTCTTTTGGGGATTGGTTACTTGTCAAACGGGCTCTCCCTTTCTCATCATATGCCACTTCGATATTTTCCCAGGCGCAATCAATCAGCCGTGTATTTTGCACGGTGGCTGGGACGACGAAGACGAAGGTGACAGTAACCTAGATAAACACGAGAGACGCCCTTCGATTTCCATCCCAGTATCAATTGACATTTCTGTTGCATGAATCCACCTAGGTACACACATATATATACATATGGTACCTGACAGTTGCTAGAAAAGTCACGTGAAATAACTTTTGAATTTCCAAGTTCGACCGAATCTATCATGCAGTTAACGGGACTCGCGTTGAAGTCTTGCCAAATTGATAGCACTTCATTCCCTTAAACTTCTTAAATGGATTTCACCTTCAAGACCACAAACGAAATTTCTCAAGATAAACTCGTAAATATTTGATTTTCGTTTGAATACGACCTTTAGGTAAATTGCGATTTATTATATATTTATACAGTGACAGACACGTGCCCTCCCCCTGTCGTAAGCTCCTGTATTACGTAATTTCCGGAAAGACCTGCCAATCGTTAAAGCTAAAGAGAGAGAGAGAGCAGCATAGGACTTTGAAATTTCATTCTTATCGTAACTGCTTGGATTTATTTCTTTTTGTTCTCTTAGCCCTGCCTTTTTTTCTTATTTTTACGGAAACTCGCAAGGTCCTCTTAGTTTTTCCATTTACGAAGAGAACAAGAGGAACAAGGGTCTGTCGCGCAAAGCACATCGAGGTCTCAACGGAGCATTCTGGCTGTCCTGGTTAGGCGTCGTAACCAACGTCCCGACGCTTCTCTTTACTTTTTCCCCCCATAGTCTCTATACCTCCAACGAATTTTTCACCGAATCAGCGATCGACGGATCGATCTTTTTTTTTTCACTCCCTAACGCCACCCTTTTTTTTCAACAACGTATCCCCCATTTTATCTTTCCTATTCGCATCGGATCTGTTCGCAATATATCGCCAAGGGCAAAACGCATAACATGGAGCAAAAAGTTGTACACGCGACACGACATTCATCCTGACGGTCCATTAGTTCCGTTGAACAGAATGAACAGCGACGCGTATACTTTTTACGAATTTCTATCTATCCATATTTCCTGATGCAATCATTAAAGTCACGCGATATAAAGTACAGTGCACAGTTTCCACCTTGTAACTTTTTATGTTCTACCGCCATTCGACGGCTCTGCGCGTAATATCCGTTTGATGGATATCAATAGTATCTATTTAAGTTTGTACAGTGCTCTAACATTTATATTCAACCGTTTGAATTTATGTTTCCCGCCTTATTTTTACAGTATCCACCCGAGAACAGTCAAAGTATGAGTATTTTGAGTTTCGTACCCAGTATCGACGACGATGGCAAGTATCTAACTTGTCGTGCTGAAAATCCAACGATTCCCGACAGTACTCTGGAAGATAAGTGGAGACTGGATGTTCAGTATCAGCCGGTAGTTACGTTACGTATGGGCGAGACATTAAATGCAAATGAAATCAAGGAAGGAGACGACGTCTATTTCGAGTGTATCGTTAAGGCGAATCCTAAGGCATACAAACTCGTGTGGTTTAAGGACGTAAGTAATTTTGAAAAAGATTTTTCTTTGCAAATGCCAATATCTTCGATATGCGATTAAATGAATTTTTTTTTCGTGCATACCTTCCAGGGAAAGGAATTGAAGAACAATGCTACAGCCGGTATCATCCTGAGTGATCATTCGTTAGTCCTTCGAGGCCTAACGAGAAATTCCGCTGGGGAATATGCGTGCCTGGCGGCGAACAGCGAAGGAAAAACTACGAGCGAGCCTCTGCCGTTACAAATCATGTGTGAGTCGGTTCTTCTTGAAACTTCCTGTAAAGTATGTTGGCAGCCCTTCAGGATCGCAAAATTCGGATATTAAGTTTTCAGTGTTACCAAGAAAGTACCCACGAAATTAATTAGTGAAATGGATCGTTGTCAGAAGACAGTCGACTGGCCGTGTGAATAGTCCAATTAAAGAAATACATTGGCAACCAACGTAGCAAAATAGATACCGAGTGACAGCTGTCAAACAATCGAGATATGACGTATTGAATAATCCGATCTCGCGTAAATGAGTTTTATTGTCTCAAAAAGTCGGATTCCCTAATTTCTTGATTGTTATACTTTCGTTTCGTGGCTCCTTAATAATTGCTTAATCGACGGTGCGGCGATAATAGTTTGCCAAGTGGCGGTAAAGGGGTGCGATCGAGGTGAGCATGTTTCGCAATGAATGTCTTCGAGGGTTGGCTCCCCCAGACAGTAGAAGAGGGTGGATGGGCGAGATAAAAGGAATATGGAGAACGAGTGTTTCAGACTGGTGGGATAAAGAATAGGGCAGATGGCGAAGGGGCTAAATAGAGGATGCTGTAAAAGGGACGTCGAGGGGGTTTAAAAGGATAGAAATGGGAGAGCGCTATAGTTTCCTCGGAAATATAGAACCGCCGGTTATTCTATTAGAATAGCAGTAGTCCGGTGGTAGCTTGTGGCTCGTAGCGCGTATCCCGGCGTATCTGCATCTTGTAAATGACCTAAGAGGGAAGGAAGGACTGCGATGCATATTCAATGTATGTAAAGCGTAGCTGAATATTCATGTGTGGCTGAACGCAGCCGGGCAATGTGCTAAGCCAGGAGAAAAGGCCTGGTCTTAACCAGCCACCTAGCCAGCCAGCCAGCCAACCAGCCAGCCAGCCAGTCGACTGGTCGGCCGGTCGGCTAGACGGAACGAACGATGCACGGAGCTGCAAGGGGTGGCTTTGATATTTTAACCCTTTAACCATTAACCACCGATAGGACGCATTTCCTGACGTGATCGTTCTATCCGACCCCCTCTTACCCCATTCGGTAACGACAACTCTTGCACAACTTTCTCGTGAACTTGACTTTGACCCTGCTGGTGTTTACCTAGTGGGATGACCCTGTCCTGGAACAACCCCTTGGAACCCCTTCCTTATCTTATATAGACTTTATACGGAAGTAACGTCACGCGACCTTCGTATACTTTGCAGTATAGCTGTAGTCATTATATACATATATATGTATATATATTGCGTTGAAAATAGCATCATAATAATGACACGTCTAATGGACGGTGATAAGAATGATGGCTCAATTATGTCTATGTGTGTAATACTCTTTAAGCTTATTTTATCAGGTTATCGGATTTCAATTACTAAATCGAATTATAACAGCATCAACCCTCTGGTGAGATAATACTAGAGTATAGTGCTTGCATGAATCATAGTCACGGTCCATTCAAGCACTGCTAGTACTTCTCTGTTCGCGTCTCTGGACTCATCGTGCATTCCTGAATATACTTCTTGCCCCTCTTTGACTCCCTGACGTTGATCATGAAACTGGAGACTTTTTATTCTTGTGGAAAGCGGAAATAACCTTCGAACGAGGAGTAGTAGGATTCTGGATTTAATTCGGAATAAAATTTGTTCTGCAAGGGATATTTACAAAATACAAAGTCATGAAATTTGTAATATCAGAGAGAAAACTTAATTCCGACAAAAATATTACCTTCTCTCTCCCTCATAAACGAGAGTCGTAATATTACCGAGAGGCAAAATAAACGTGTTAGGATATTTAAGATTTGAATGGAAACTTTAAGGGTTGATAAGGTTCAGGTCGCTTCAAAGTTGACGAAAGGAGAGCGGAGTATATTTGCTTTGGAATAAAAAGAGAATAAAGAAAATGTCATTTATGATTATATGTATGTAAACTTTCAGGAAGGTTGCTCCGTCCCCCTCTGTCTTTTTATCTAAAATCAGCCTCCCAAGTAGTTGCCAACTTATTCGTTGAAAACATGGCGGCACTCGAGCGACACGGTGGTTAAATTTCTAAAGTTTTTAGATAACTCAACTTTTACTGTACCACGCAACCCTTCGATATAGTCTGTACGCCGTAATTCGTGCGTGTTCGATATATTCAGTTAATACATTAATTTCAGTTACACCAGTGTGCAAGGAAGGTAAGGCAGAGGTGGTCGTGGGTGCTCTCAAGCAGGAGACCGTATCGCTGGTCTGCGGGGTGGAAAGCCGACCACCCCCTCTGACCTTTCACTGGACCTTCAACAATTCTGCGGAACTTGTGGACGTGCCACAATCTCGTTATTCCCACGTGGCACCACCAGGCACTCCAACCGTCGCTGAGAGCTTGAAGGAGTACCAACAGTTTCATGGATCCAGACTGAATTATACACCCTCGACAGATTTGGACTATGGTACAGTTGCATGCTGGGCAAGTAATCAAGTTGGCAGACAGAGAACACCTTGTCTCTTCCAGGTAGGTTTGGGTTCGGGTTCCTATACCCTGCATTAAATATAAGTGCTGCACTCGTGAGAGTATTTACACCAATTTATTATACGAATTTCATACGACGAAGATTTTTCAAAAATTGTATATATTTATTTTTAATTCACAGGTGATAGCAGCAGGTCGTCCATATCCTCTAAGTAACTGCACAGCCACCGAACTCTCTGCTCCTGTCGAATTAGAGGAGCTGGGTTCTATATCCGGATTAGGTACAGGACTGACTGTACGATGCTTGGACGGATACGACGGTGGTCTGCCTATTCACAGCTATCAGTTGGAAGTAGTAGCCGACGAAGACGGCGGTACCATTTTCCGAAACAAAACTGTAACAGCCGGCACGAACGGACCTGTATTCGACGTTGCCGGTTTGACAACCGGTCGCAGTTATCGTTTGTTTCTATACGCGGTAAACTCCAAGGGAAGAAGCGATCCTACCGTCCTGGAGCCCGTGACCTTGAAGGGCGTAGCCATGTACACAACTGGTGAGTTGTATATAGAAATTACGTAATCATATTGTCGCGTCGATGATACAAAACAGATAATATTTTTTTTTATTCCTGTGCACCCGAAGGACTTTACTGTGCACGTTTAATTAATTAGGACGTAAATATTAACAGGGATATATTTTCACTCGCGTACAGCACACAGCCAAGCAGAATCAACGTTAAAAGTTAAAACGCTGAATTTCAGTTTGATCGGTCGATTAACAAGAGGCGCTCCCAATGGGTGATGGGATACACGGGGATGGCGGATATGATCGCAATTGCACAAATAGTCTGAATGGGCGCGTCAGTATTGTAATTAGTCGGTTAACCAGCCCATCCTCTCAGAGCTGCAGCCATAGCGAAGGGTGGTGATGTGTAGCGAAGGGTAGCCGAGGGTGGTACAAGGGTAGTGCTGTGAAGAGGGAGCTGTAGAAGGGTGGCGAAGGCCAGCTGGCTTGCAATGCTGAACGCAGCGTAACGCAACCGCAGGTATCGGACTCTGCGGACCTTGCAATTAACAAAACAGATTACTCTCAATCAACGAACACCTATCTGGCTCTCAGGAACAGCTGGGCGAAACCTAGCCCGGCCTATAGGTAATGGAGATTCTCTACCGTTTTTTTTACCAGCACAGCGTTGATGTATCGATCGTTCGGTCCGAAATCGCTGTTCCTTGACCTCTGCTCCTAATGAATTCTCTTGGCAAACCGATCGTGGCTGCTAAATTTTTTTTCCGGTTCCGGCAAACGTGCTGGGAATTTCACTTGGAATGCACTGGCAGTACGGGCTTGCACTAGAAGTCCCCGAGTTTCAGGAATCCTTCCGGTACTTGTATTTCTGCTGGTGTTTATAAGTGAAAGTCACTCTCTAGTTGTTCTCATGTGATCCTCGTTATAGGAGGCTAGACTCTTGCTCGGTGTACCGATTAGGCTAGTTTTAAGGTAACGTTCCAACCTCTGACTCTTGGTCTGACTCCCTTGTGTTGGATACGTGTGCCAGGGATGGTTGTAATGGACTCCAGGCACCCTCGACTACATAATGGAAAGGCATTGGTACCATACGGTTACGGGTCAACACAGGGTTAATTCAGTTTACCAGCGATTTCCAATGCGGCAGTCCGTTACGTCACTCCCATCCTTCGTACGTGAGTGTGTGTGTGAGTGTATATATATATATATATATATATATATATATATATATGTATATATTTTATCCACCCTTTTTGCCAATTCTCTCCCTTCGATTCACTTCACTTCACCCCTCTATACTTTACCTATAACGATACCGACCCCAGGTCTCAGTTGCGCCACCCTTGATTCTGCTTGAGCCACCCTTTCGTAGTCCCTAGGCGATAGTCGCTGGTCCTGAATAGCAGCCATTTCGAAGTCCACAATGGCTCATGTAGGTAGTTAACAGCAAATATTGATTTGGGAACGAAATCTTTGCATTTCGGATTTCTCCTACGAAGCGAAGAGCGTCGAAGCTTCCACGCAATTAGAAGAATGACAAGTGGAAAAAAAAGTATTGTGAAATTGTAAGTGCGTTACCCGACGAACCGTATTAGCATACTCCTTTCATGATTTAAATCTGACGTGGAGAAATTTTTTGTCCGACACTTCAAGAAAACTCTACTTTGATAGTTTACGTAGTTTAGTACTTTATATCTGATATGCTTTTACGAAACTGTACTATTATCGGGTACCGGTCACGACAATGTAATTCCGCAAGAAGCATTTCGGGAGTGATTCAAAATGAAGGATCTGTAACTCCTGCCCGGTGGTTCCTTATCTTTCAACCTTGTCAAATTCTTGGGGTGAAGAGAAAGAAGATATTAAGAGGAAGCGTCCAGGAAGTATCTCGAGATAAGATTGTGGTGGTGAGAGGGCTAAAATGGGACATAGTGAAGGTGGTGGTGTTGGGGAGGGGGGGGGGAGAGTTTACGGAAGTGGAAAAACGAGTCTATTGTAAGGTGGCAGGAACGAGCACGGAAGGAAATTGCAGCCATTTCGTAATCTCTCATTGGATGACCCGTAGCTAATCCATTAGGAAAATTAACTGGGCAAAGCTTCTCCTTCCTTCCCCCTATTCTTTTCTTAGCTCGTAACCTGTCCCCGAGTCTTTGTCAGGGCGACTCCTCAGCCGTAGCAGTGAATAAGAAATAAGAAATGCCACGAAAAAAAAAAAAATATGAGAAATGAAATACCCTATTCGAGTAAACTCTCAGATAAAGTGCTTTGAGGAAGTGAAGAGCTGAATGTACCTCGTGGCGATGATGCTCACAGAATATATGGATAGAAAGTGGAAAAAGTGTACAAAAGAAGTAATATGGTACCGAGCGCTAGTGGTACCAGAGCTTGTGAGCTAAAAAGTATTAAAGGTGAATATATACGGGTGTGGGATGAACAGGCGAAAAAAAAAAAAGAAGTAGAGAATTGAGAATTAGGGAGGTGTTTGGAGGTTGTGGTAAAAAAGGCAAAAAGGTCAGAAGAGGAAAAAAAAATAAAGGCTTCCTCCTGGCAAAGAGCTTCAAAGAGTGGGGGTCTGAAAAGTAAGAGGCAGAGAATAAGGCATAACGCCCGATAGAAAGAGTGGATCTCGCACTCTGAATGCTAACAGGACTGGAGGTATCTTTCATCCTGCGTCCTCCTGTATCCTCCCTGTATCTTCCTTTATCTTCCTCTGTTGACTTCCCTATCTTTGCCCGCTCGATCGCCCGCGGCTGTTTGCGTGAGCGTCTATGTGGATGGTTTTAGAATGCAATTCTTCCGAAATTGGTTTCGGGTTTCCGAGAAATTGGCTCAATTTAGGGCGAATTGCTTACGCGAGCCCCAAGGATTATGTCTTGGAAATACTCCCTTCGGGGTGCCGAACTTTTGCAGGGACGACGACAGGGACTGCCGACGCCGGGCGTCGCGATACCTCCTCACCTGCTAACGTTGCCACACGGCCATATTACTTTGCTTATATCCTACCTTAATTTTCTGTAATCTTTATTCTTTTATTTCATCCCCTACTACTACCACCCCCTTTTCCTCCCAAATGCTCGACACTCTCAACGGCTTATGGCACTATTAAAAAAATCAATAAAGGATCGAAGCTCATCAAACGTATTCGCGTACGAAGGACATCCACGTAATATAAAGGAAGTGCGCGATTAAAGGGTTTCGATAAAGGTGTAAAAAGGTAAAGGGTTGTACCGCACGGTAAAACGTAAAAGTAAATATAAATGCAAAGGGCCGAGACGCCTAACCCCTTTTACCAGAGTGGAGCCATAGAGTTTTATGGCGGGAAAGTTAAATTACAGGCAAACCACCCGAACCTCGAGTATCCCAAAGTATCTTAGAGCATATCCCGTGCAACCTCAGTAGCACTCTGGTGTAAACAGGAACGAGTGACTAAGGAAAAAGATAGAGTAGGACGAAGGTGAAGGCGGTGGAGCAAGGAGGATGCACGAACAACCCCTAACTCCCTTTAATTCTTACACGACCGTGAAAGGTCGGACTGGGCTAATGTCCCCTTAGCAAGCGTTATCCCTTTTTACTGTAAGTAGAGTTCAAATTGCTTTTGCTTTCACGGTGTCCATCAAACTCTAATCAAACTTTAACGGGTACCAAGAGCACTCGGACTGCTTATGAAGCTAACTGCTGTCAACTTTAATACGCGTTACAATCAATACTACAGATTTTCTATTTAATATTAATGTATCAATTTAAATGTCATTCGCTGTTATCATTAGCATTTATTCGTATATAGGTCAACTCAGGATAGCCTTGTATCCTATACAATTAATTAAATAAGCTTGGTGTTTCTGCGAACTACTACCTTTTGAACCATGACGTTCCAGAAACTGACCCAGCCCCTCGAGCTCTCTGCACAACCGGGTATTACTACCTTCCGGTTAATTATTGAGTAGCTTTGCGCGGCGATGCTCGTAAACGCCAAATTAGCCCCGGCGCTCTGTTTGCATTCCTACGGCCAACTTTCACGTTATTACGTACACCTCCTACCCTTCTCTCTCTCTCTCTCTCTCTCTCTCTCTCTTCTTCTTCCTTTGCATACGGACAAATCTCTCTCTCTCTCTCTCTCTCGTCACTCTCCTCTTTGAGTACACGAAGAAGATCTGCAGCTGACAGCCAGCTACCACGTAGCTCACTGATCGACGCGCACGATTATTCACGGATTGTTTGGAAATGTTTTTTCGTGAATGCCCGAGGGAGAAAAAATATTACGATTCCGAAACGTAAAGATAATTTCAAATTGCCCGTGCAACAAGCGTATACATAACCAAACGAGATATCGGCGAAGTAGCACATAATTCTTTCACACCGTTCAGTCTTTGTTGGCTTAACGTGCAGTCAGTGACGATATAATAAATTATTGAATTGCCAGCTACGTGTACGTAGTATGCCCGTGGGCATCCACGAGAGGAAGAAGGACAACGTGACCTAGAACGACGAGTGTGCGACAGCGAAACACGTGTGTGTCCTGTAAAGTCAGGACAGCCGTCATCGTCTCGTGTACAGAGAGAGAGAGAGAGAGTGCATTAATGTGAATACGTAATAGAGTATACGCAGGTAGAGATATCCCACCCGCCGCGAGAGGGGTGTGCGTTAATTGATGTAATTATATTCTCCTTGCGGCAAAGCACACCAGCTCGTAGATATATATTATGCCGGAATATCCATATCCAAGCATATTGCAGCGGTGCAACAGGGCACACGTCTATCTATTTATATACGGTGGCTACGGCGAACACTGTAATAGCGCCATTATACATAGAGTACATAGCTTCGTTAATTATTGTCGTGCTTATTAAGCCCGGTACCGTAGTATTATCCCGTGACGATGAGTTACCATAAGCCGGCTGACCATTACTGTTTAAAATATCAAGAAAAGATACACGCGTCGAACTGTTACAATTTGAAATTCAAATGGTACGGGATAGAATGGGGGGATCAGCAAACTAATGAAATATCTCGTAGCGGATTGAAATTGAATTAATGGCAATTAGCGAACCAGTATCGGATAGTTGTTCAAAGTGACGGTCGAGTAATGCATATTGTATTCCGTGGTACGGATGGCACAGGTAACGGCGATGTCTCCGTACTGAATCCTCTACTTCTTGGTCTGGCCGCAACCGCGACCCTACTGGCACTCGCGGTAGCTGGAATTCTGGCGGCACTTTACCGGAAGCACTCCAGTGCTCGTGGCGGAAGTCCGAAGCATGCACCGATCGTGAGCGAGCCACCTCATGCCGGGGCTACCACCCCTATACATCCTCAAACGAAGCAAACTGCCGAGGATATCGATCCGGACATTATACCAAACGAGTACGGTAGGTTTTTGGAAAATATTTCAATTAGGTGTATGAAAATAATATGAAAAAAAAAATTTCGATAAAAATTTGGATTTTTATTTATTCACGGTACAGATGGAGATGTTAATGAACTGTATGCAAATGGTGGTTTATAGATATCTGTACTGATAAAAGTGATCACGTGACATGTGTAGAAAAATGATCTACCTTCTTAACGATTTAATCGATTAATGGAGTCAGTCGAGTGACTTGAATGGCTACCTTGAAATCTGTTGATAGAAAGAAGACCCTTGACGTACACTCCGGTTTACAAGACACCACCCCAGCGCAGGAGGAAGGATCGTACGGATGACGCATCCCCTGAGAAGAAACCGATCGTCGTTCAACAGACACTGGACCTGCAACCAGATCCCAGACTGGACGATTACAGTTCATCCCCTATGACGAACTACCCCCATAATCATGTCAGCCAGCAGAACGCTTACAGTCATCCCCCGACGATGGCCGACTTTAAGCAGATGGCTATGGACGCCTATAATCAGCGAAATAATCAAAATGTAAGTTTTCATCTTCAAACGAGGGTTTGATGGGTCATCTTTCTTTTTTTTTTATATTTTTTTTTCCCCTTCGCTCTTTCGCCGAGCCAACACTTCCCGAACGTGCCTCGAACGTTGCGAGTCGTGATTCCGCGGGGGTTACGACGCCCGCGGATATTTAAAATAATCCGAGTTTTATGAGGCAGCGTCCTTTTAGCGCTCGTACTCCTTACGCGAACTCTTCCACTTTAACTTTTCCGGTTTAGCGAAGCCTTAGGTTATCCACGCTTCCGTAACTTTAATTACTTTAAGTTTTCTTCGATAATTCGAAAGTCGGTACCCCCACCTTGTCCCCTCTTCCCTTTCCCGTCGTCCCCTATATCCTATTCCCTGTTACCTGTTCCGATTTCGGCTAGTTATGCAGTCGTTACTTTCACCCTTGTAACATTTGTACGATTTTACTTTGCGACTGCCGATAATCGAGTCTCGTTTGGTTTCCCTAAGTTAACGGTATATTTAGTTTTACTTTTTTTTTAAGCGAAGTTACACGAGAAACGTTAAACGAGGGGTGGAACCAAAATTGTATAGTAGTTTTAATGAAGAATGAAAAATGGATAGGGAGCTTCGGTGGTATTTATAATAATAAGAATTCAATGTACAGGTACACGTGACGCCTTATAAGAGGGGGGGGGCGGGAGGGGGAGGGTTGTTGTGGTGGTAAAGAAAAAAAAAGTTTCAGACCCGATTTACTTTCGACGCTCGTTCGGGAAAACTTTTCTTTGGCAAAGTATGGCGTGCGCGCCCTCTAATTTTCTGGTTACCGAGGCTAGTTGTGGTTGTAGGTATATTACAGCCTTCAGAGGTCGAACAAAGGCGTCTCGACGATGCCGCAGAGGCCGGTTTCCTCATCTATCTCGGCGCATGGGAAGTTTCATCAACCGGAAGTGGTGACGCGTTCAAACCGAATACAAGAAAGTTGTATATAAAAAGTAAAGGATCGTGAAGAAAAAAAGAAAGCTCGGACTCTTAAGAGTTGAAAGCCATTTATATACTTTGTTCGTTTCATTGTCAAGGTCATTCTAAGGTAACCGAACTGAAACGAATGCCTCCATCAACATTTACATATACCTAGGTTATAGAAAACTTTGTCATTCGTCGACGAAGGCGGTTGTCGATTTATTCATGAAATAAAAGAAAAGAAAAAAAAAATGTGAAAAGTTCGCCCAATTTTGGACTAACACATCTTCCCGTAGCTCGTGTGCGTCTTCGTATATTTACAAGACACTTTTTTCATTCACTGTACAAAATTGTCAAAACGCATATCGATTGGTTTCGTCAGTGGCTGAGTATCCCGGGTCGACGAGGATTTAGAAAATTTCAAAAAAGTACTTTAAACGACGCTTTGTATCTTTTTGCGATCCAAATCGTGAGCAATGACAGAGACTCGAAATTTCGTAATGACTAAAATATTTGCGAATTTCTTGGAAACTATCATTGATATCCGGAGCGGGTGATATCAGCCCTTTCGATAAACTTTCGAATACGTTACGTTTTACTGTTTATATGAGATTAGTTTTTGTACAAAAGTCTATTGTAAATAGGCGTGGAGCCATAATTAGGGGTGGTAGCAGTAATGTCCGAATTTTCTTCGCTACGTTAAGCCGAGAGATGTCGTTCGTGTATGATAAAAGATAAAAAGCAAAAAGATGACTCGAAAGAGATACGAAATAAACGAAATATCTTTCGTCCGTTTTACATCGCAGTGACTTGAACCCTTATTCGGCCGAGAAAACTTGGCCCACGTCCTTGCACGAATTCCGGTGTCCAGTCCCGTCATCCTCTAGTTGTAGTAGGTTGGAGAATATCCATGTAGAAGATACCCAAGAGGAATCCAGTAGACGGCCTACCCTACGGAATTCCTGAGTACGTGATGGGAATCACCAGAGGAAGTTACTACTTGGCTGATGGGAAAGCTGCTTAACTTTTTGCGCCACTTTCAGTACATAGTCGAATGGTTTCCGGTCCCGGTTCCGAATCCGGTTCCGCTGGTACCATCTTAGTCCTTCCCTACCACATTTCCCTTGACCCACGCGATCACTTCTTTCAGCTGCATCGATTCTCAAGAAAATTTTACAACCTCCTCCTTACTCATCCCGACAAGCAGTACCAACGTTTCAGAAAGCAGACAAGAAAAAAAAAGGACCTCGTATAATGTCCCAGGATGGTAAGTGAGCTTCATCGCGATTCTGAAAGTCCCTGATTTAGGCTAACACGTTACGAGTATAGTCCTGAAAGTTATTTATGTACTAAGAGTGGCGGAACTGTTTCCAGTGGCAGCCAAGGGAGTCCGAGTCATGAGGGAGAGCGAGACAGAGTCACCAGACTATAGAATGAGAGACCAGGAGAGAGTGTGAGAGAATAGTCCTGCGGGGGTTAAAGTGCAGTAATTTGAGGATTTCCAGGGGTGGTCCCGGGGCGCTACAGTGTTTGCATACATTGTGCAGGTTGTGCACCCTTGTCTTGCTAACAGGGACTAACCCCAAGGCTAACCCCACGCCCATTCAGCCATTATTCTATGTGCCAAGCGTCTCTAGGGCTGTTAACGCGACCTACTCTCAGCACTCGCCTAACGTCCCCTTGTTTCTCTCCTACCACCCCTTGATACAATATATCTATAATTGCGATCCATCCAGCCATTATTATCCTATGATTCTGTATTGGTTGCAGCTGCGTCACGCTTAGCAGCCATTGAATAATTGAAACGCCACATCGAGCCCAAGTAGCGGGCAAGATAGAAAATTTGTTTTCTATTAACGGAGAGATATACCTTTGAAGCGTATATGATGGCCACGTAGCTGATGGCTTCGTGAAAAGCCACTGAGATTTTACGAGGTAGAATTTTCATTATGCGCAAAACAGTGCAAAGGGTAGTCCAACCTATTGGCAGGAAGATTAAAAGGGGGAAACTTGAGAAAGGTAGAAGTGGGTGGAGGAAGAAGAGCGAAGGGTGGCGAGCTTCGTGGGGTAATTATGATTCGAATTAACCCAGTTTCTTTAGCCGGGGTTACGGTTATTAGGGCGTCCAACGGCCGACGTTAAACAACGCCATCATTTTGTTTGCTGAAACAAAATTGGTTCTGGCGTCCAACCGGTACCATTTACAGGATAATTTAGCATTCTCACTGAAAGCCGACAATCATTAACAAAACCAGTAATTAACAGTGAGACTTGCATAACTTCTCTTCTCGATCGTTCCGCGGAAAACATTGCCCCGTATAGGCAATATATATATATGGTTGTACATGTTATGTAAGGACTGTACGAAAAGAGAGTATTTCCAGTTAGATAATAATTGTCTTTAGTAAATGGTTTCAGCTTATTTTAACGCCACCGTTATGATAAATTACCATGAATGATTAACCTGTAGGCAAACGCGTCCTTATCGATCACACTGTAGTTAAATGGAATCTCTTTGCCTTCCTTGAAAAGCCGGATAATGGTTGGGAGTAGCGGAGGTCGCGACGAGCTATGGGCTTCTTACCTTTTTATCTAAATCTCGTAAAATCATCGTGGCGCGCTACACGAAAGTTTCACCGTGAAACGCGAAATTTCGTGCAAACTTTAACGATATACTGTGGTTGGAGAGTGGCAAGTGGTGGCAAGAGAGTGAAGCAGCTTAGAATTCTATTGGCGGCTAGTTGATGCTGGTACAAAAAGAGGGATAGAGAGAAATAAAAAGAGTAAGGGTGTTTCACAGTGTAACGTCAGGTGTCTCTCTCTCTCTCTCTCTCTCTCCCTTTCTCTCTCACACACACATTTTCTTTCGGCCCTCTCCCTTCGTTCTCGTTTCCACTTTAGTCACTTCGATCCTCCAGGACTCTTGAACGAAGTCAGCTGGAAGTTTCGTAGCTCGGCGAAAATTTACTCGTGATACAAGGGAAGCGTCAACTTGCGGTAAACTGGGATCGGTGAGAGCGGGTAATTCCATGTCGATAAAAATGTCGCGCTCCTTGCCGGGATGAACGGAGGACGAAAAAGAGAAAGGAAGGAGGGAGAGAGAGAGAGAGAGAGAGAAGCAGAAGCAGAAGTGACGAAATGGAAGAAAGTCGTAGCGCGAGAAGAAAAGTTGGCATCGAAAGTTTCTTTCGTAAGGAAAAGTTAGTCGTCATCTCTGGCGCAGCCTGCAGGAAAAGAACCTGATGGAATTCGCAGTTTGACACTGGTCCGGAGTGAAGCTGGCGAAAGGAGAAAAAGATAAAATAACAATGTTCGACGCTTGAGCAACTAATTGAGGAACTGTAATAATACTTCAAGGAATCAGTAATATTCTGATTTTATGTCAAAAATATTTTTCAATTTGACTTAAAAATTTGTCTCGTTACATTTGTCCGCCGTATAAAAGTACTGCGGGCAAAATACTTCTATGAGCATTATGGGTAATTTATGTTTATTTTTATATCTATTTTAATAATTGTACATGGGTACTTAAGGTATGCACGATAGTCTTATTCGAAATGGAAACGTGGTTTCTCGTAAAGGCGACGATCTTCGCTGCAAGGAGACGGTTTTATTGCGGAACGACGTAGGGCGTCGCTAAACGTCGAGACCGCAGCCTCGCCATAATCACATATTCACTATTAGCCTGCGTTTGCTGCATTGTTGACAAACAACTAAGCCCGACTCGAAGCACCAGCTTAACCGTATTTCTCCGCGTAATAAGCTGCTTTTGCTGCTAAAGCTTCGCTGGGTGAAAAGAGCTGCGCCGTTACACTATAGTGCAGCCAGTCTGTTCTTATGCGGGCTTACCTACCAGCGATATACCAACTAGACTTCATCTAAGGGGTGTCTCACAGGTACCCTATGGACGTGGAAAAAATAAATAAAAGAAACTTTTGTTTATATCACAAGTGTCCAATTTAAAAAAAAATGGACTAATAATATTATAGTATGATACACGTAATTATTTTTCATAATAAAGAAAATATTGTAAAAAGAAAAAAATGATTGGTTTGACGTATCACACAAAATTCAAGGGAATTTCTGCAAGTGAGCATGTACCATAAAAATTGTCCAATTTACAATGAGTGAGTGACGTAATATGTAGAAAGCAGCTTTCGTTGCGATTTCAACCCTCCGTGGGATAAGCCAGGGCAGGACGTGTGCCACTCGATATTTCGTGAAACGAAACGAGCGAGAAACTGTCGAAGGGAAGTGATGTGAGCGTTGGCTTCACCCATTAGACAGGGTGAAAATTACCGAGCTGGCATTGTGTAATCAAAAAGAAAAATAAGGGTAAGCACAAAGAGAACGCGTATTGGTATTGAAATATCGGAGTGAGAGAGTTCAGAAAAATGAAGTTTGAAAAAAATAGTAAAATTCAAGACCCAAGAACGGGGGGTTCCCGTTGAAAGGTTACGTCACTGCGGCCTAGTAAATAGCATTAGCAAGTCAACTAGCGCTTTACTCTCTGGGTACTTAGTTCTTGAGATTCGAGTTAATTTATACAAGTGGTACACAGTAATGCAGTTATACAGTTACCCTGTTATGCAGTTAGTTTTAGTTTCTGGCAGTGTGCTGTACGTTGGGGATGGTAACTTTATCAGAGATGGTAGAAGGAACCCGGTGCCACGCTGGCGTTGCTACTGGAGTTTGAAGAATGAGGTAAAAGCTTGTCTGACGTTTAAGCGAGATAGGGAAACGAATGGAGAAAAGGGGACAGATGCTGTAACTCTGGAAGGGATGAATACCGCAAGGGACTAAAGGCGAAAGTAACGAGCGTAAAGTAAAGCCTGTTCACATCCGTACTTAACCGTTTAGTCCACTCGTTAATTGTCAGGGCTCTGCATTAGGCGGCCTTATATAGGGGTGGAATTCAAAATTAACCCTGACTTAACGATATTCATTCGAAAGTTGCGTTCATTTACATTAACGAGTAGCCCGTTTGCCTCGTCACCCTAGTGGCACATCCTTCATCCCCCTTGCCCCTGTTTTCTCTTTCCTTCCTTTTTTTTCTTCCATCTTCATCTCTCTCCACTCCTTTCCCTCCGACCTCGATCCATCCTGTAGGGAGCACGATTGGCGGCCTGAGGTCAGAGGGTGTTAGGCGGTAGACGGTGAACCAATGTACAAGTAAGGGTAGAAGAATGGGGGTGCGCTTAGAGAGTTGGATGCGGTGATTATCGGCCCGTGGAGATTGGGAGGGTTGCGCTGGAAGGAGGGTCGCGGAGCACCGGCGCTGCAAATGGAGGACGTAATAAATTCAAGGGGGATCGAAACACCCCATAATCACGAAAGGGTTGTCCATTGTTATCGGAGCAACAATTGCGCCCATTGGGGGCGGGAAGGGGGGGGGGCTCGGGGGAGTGCGATGAAATCACGCGGAAAACACACGCGACACACTTTAAATGTCGCATTCGCCAGCAGGCTGGAACCCCTATTGATTCACCCCTGTCGATTCACTTGGCTCTTTCCAGCCTGACCTAACCCACCCTCAAAGCCTTCGCGAAACAATGACATTATTAGGGAGCATAGAAGGAGGACGGTGATATTATTTTTTCGATCCTACCGAATATTCCTGAAATATTCATTCTGGCGGAAACTGGAGAGGACCTTCGAGCGAGGCTGAAACCTGATTTCACCCCTTGTATTCCAACGTCACGGCCGCTTCTTAGAATAATGCTAACGACTTTGTTAATTATTATTCCCGATAAAATCGTGGGTGGGCGGCGATGAGGGGCGGAGGGGGGGGGGAGGTG